GCGGGGCGAGGAGCACGCAGCGGGCTGGTACGTAAGCCCCGGCGCACGCACGCACGCATGCATGCGGCCACGCACTCCAGCGCCCGGGAGCGCCGGACCTCGGAGAGGCCTGCGCAGGTTTGCTGCTTGTAAGGTACTCTTGTGTGGTTTTATCCTCACTCCCTGTTACCCGTCTCCAGCGTGGAATTATTCTGAGGAGTTTCCTGTGCTGTGGTGAAAGGCGGTGGGCGGGGTGGGACCCCAGGTGGGGCAAGGAGTATGTACAAATCAGAAGGAGCTGTTTTCTAACACCTCTAGTCAGAGCGAAGATTGTGTGTCTCAAACTTCAAAATTTGCCCTTCATATTTAGCTTCTAATGTTGCAAAAAAAATTTTTTTAACTTATGACATGGAGGGAAAGTATCTTTTATTCAGTAGCACCCCAGAGCGCTGCTTGAACAGCCGTTCCTGAATCACGGCAACCAAATTAAACCCAGCTTATGCCAAAATGCAGTTCTAGCAGTTTATCCAGACTTTATTTCCCTTTCCAAGACTTTACTTCCCTTTCCAAGTTTATTTAAAGAGAGATTAGATCCAGTTGTGCCATTCACCGTTGTCACACACGTTGTTTAGGGTTTCAGTAGAGTTAATTTCTTAATAGAAAATGGTAAATTGAAAGGTTCTTAAGCCAGGAGGGAAGCTCATTGTGTAAAGAGGAAGCATGTGTGTTGTTAAAACATGTAGCTTATCTAGAATAAATTAAGAGTTTTAGCATAGTTTGGACCACATCTCATGTCTGAAATCTCTTGTTTGGGAGAAGGGAGAAGTGTGTAAATTATCTCATAACTGACATAGGGAAGTGCATCTTGGAAAGAGGGAAGGGTTTGTGATTTCCTTAGTAAAAAGTCAGGAAGGAGCTGCCAGGTGTTGTGAATAGCCATTACCGCAAACCTTTCCCGGGACTCTCCTGGGTTTCCTCGGGAGTGGCTGCAGCTGCTCTGGAGTTTTGTTTGGTGATTTTTTAAATGGTTGTTGGTGGAAGGGTGTGTTTTGCTTAATTTCGTGTTTGAGACATTCTGTACAACAACAGGGACCTTAATGAGAATGCTGAGAATCATTACATTAAGGAAAGACTGGTGCTTTACATGACTTTTTCTTACGACAGAGGAGACGTGTTGGAAGGGTGGTGTATGACCACATACAGTTCTGTGAAAGTGGCTTTCAGCTATCTGAACTGTTACCAAATTGTCACTGGTTGCTAAATAAATAAGGTGCATAATGGATATCCAAATTGAGTCACATTTGATGTAGTTTAATAAATATGTATAAACCTGGCCTGTCCCACAGAGGTATAGTCACTCTAGTAATAAGAAGGCACGGGTGTACTTGAGTCAGTCATGGGAATGAGCTAGACATTTGAAAGACTGAATCAGTGACAGTTCTTGACTTCTCATACTCCTTCCAAGAACTGACCACAGTCCCTTGTGTTTAAGGCTAGGTTTGGAAAAGTTAACATCCTTGTGATAGGAAACTCCTTGTCCAGGATATTCTGGAGTCTACATTTCATCTAAATGATTTTAAAAGATAAACTCATCTTCCATTAACAACCTTAGGCACAACTATGGAAGAATTGGAAAGAATCAACAAAGAAATCGAATCTGTTAAGGCTGAGGTTGAAGAAAAGCAGAAGAGGCTCTCCAAGTTACTTTAGCCCTCAGAGAGCTGTCACAAAACCCTGTGGCCTCCTTGAGTGACATAAATGTGAGACAAGATTTTCCTGAAAATAGCCTGCTCCTCAGAGAAAGGTGGAGTGAACTATCGAAGAACCAAGAGAGTCAGCCTAGAAAGTATGTGATGGACCACAGATGTCCAGCAACTGACCTTGAATATGACCCCTTGCTCAATTACTCCACAGAGCTGCTGCTTGGGGCATCTCAAGCAAGGCAGGGTGAGACTGACATACAACACTTCTACCATTTGAAAAAATCTGTGGGTGGAAATGGCCACAAGTCCCTGGAAAGCCAAAGACCTTGTGTTTCACCAATAAGAATTAAAATAAATCTTCAAGATTCTGATGAAGATGACCTTGTCATAGATGTACCTCCAAGAAGTCCTACTTTTAAGAAATCTAAACCATGTAGAGGCTTTAAATACCAGAATATGGATGAAAGGTCACAGGTAGTGCCCCCGGAGGAGCAAAATCTTCAAATTAGTGACATAGAAGAGGAAAAAATAAATAAAACCCGACTAACCACAAAAAGACATGATGACAGTAACAAATTAGAACCACCAAAATTGCTTATGAGAACCTTACTAGATGTTAAAAATCATGTAAACTTGTGCGGTATTAAAAACCACAGTTCCAAGACAGGAAGCTTTGGTGGTGAGAAAAACTATGTCTGTATTTCAGAAGAAAGTGTGTCTTGTGGACCTCTCAGTGACAAAGAAATACAGAGAGAAAGCCATAATGAAAGTTATCCAAAGAGCAGAAGACGTGTAAAAACAATTTATGATACTCAGAAGGAAGAAACTGAATGGCGACATTCACCAAGCCAACACCAGTTCTCTCATTCTGATGACCGCAGGAAAGACAGAGTTCTGAGAACACAAGACCATAGTCAAGACGTCACTACTTTTGAAGATGGCAAATTAGCTAAATTTGATTTTGATAGGGAGCATAGTGAAGATGACACTGCCTCCGATTCTGATGACACTATGAAGAAATGTCTTTGAATTTTCCACGAGTTCACGAATAGCGAGGTTCGTAAGGGAGAGACTGCTTAAGCAGGTTTGTCAGTTTTGTTTTTAATCCTTCTTTTCCTCAATCTAAAGGAATTTCCCTTAAATACATCTTTTCTATATTCTGAACTTTATAGAATATGTATGATATCTGTAATATATATTTCTAATTCTTATGATCAATAATGTATTGGAAGGACAAGGCAAAAACTTTGATAATTGGCCAGCCATAATATCTTGCAGGCTTGGCAGTTTCCAGAGGCCATGGTGTTAACGTATAGTAACTTAGAGTTGATTTCCCAAATCAGAGAAATCTTTTACAGGATTCTATCATGTCAAGTTACCCAAATTAAATTATTTCTTGTGAATTATTTCTCAATAAGTTGCCCAGTATTTTGTAGCTTGGATTCCTGTGGCTCCTCAGGAAACATGATAAATTTGCTTTTACTAGGTTGAAACTGGATAATTCTTATCTTTTCCCCACTAGGCTTCAGGAAAGCAAGTGAAATTAGATATGTTGTATTACCAAAACATTTCTGGACCGAAAAAGAGGATTGTACACGCTGCCAAGTTTGATGTGAGTCATTTTGTTTCTCTCTCTCAGCACTTTGTAAATGACATACCTTGTCATTCCGAGCTTTATTCTAGTACTTGTTATCTCATTATCCACTAGGGGGCACAAGTGGGCAGGTAGCAAATTGATTGCCTACTTGTCAGCATTTTCCAGGTCCATTTCCCCACCCGGCATTATCTAACAAAGTTTTCATTAAAAGCGGGTATAGTGTTGTGTGATCTTTTAACCATAAATTAGTATGTCCTCATTTTTTGAAGATTCTATATTGTGAATTTGCCTATTGAGTAAAATTAATTTGTAACTTTAAAATCAAGACTTACGCTTTTGTGGCCCTCTGTGGACATGCATAGTGGCGAAAACAATTTGAATTGCCTAAACATGCACTTCCCCTGCCAAGCTGAGTAAGGCAGCACTGCCTTCATGCTCAGCTCTTGTATTGTTAACCAGTGTCCTTGTCTAGTCTGTTTAGTGACATGTTTTCTGCATTTTTGTGTGTTTTGTTGTTGATGGTCCCAGAGTACAGTGCTGTCTGTGTTCCTTGGAGCAGGAAGGCTGAGATGTGCCTTACAGAGAAAATATGTGTGGTAAACAGCATTGCTCAGGCAGGAGTTACAGTGCTGTTGGCCACAAATTCAGTGTTAATGAATCAGCCGTATATACTCAATGAAGTAGCTTTAAACAGAAACACACGTAAAGCAAGGTTAGACTGGTCAATGAAACCGTTGCAACCAGATACTCACCTGCACCTAGGAGCCATGGTTCAGTATTTGCTAATTCATTGTTTACAGGACTCTGTACAACTTCACTACCGTGAATAAGGAGAATTGACTGTAGTTTTTCAAAGTAATTTGAACCACTTGTAAATTGATACCATAAATACTGAAGTTCTTTTATCACATGTAGAGAAGCTGAGCAAACACTACAGCAAGAAGTGTTCTTTTAACTATTGTGTCAACAAGTCCTGGTTAACACAAACTTTATTCCTCTGCTCTAGTCTCTGTGTTGTTTGTACTTGGTGCACACTGACATCAGTCTTCTGTGTGACATAAAGAGTTTATGCTTTCAGTTCCCAAATGAGAGCCTAAATTGTGGTTCTTCACAGAATAGTGGAATGCCCTTGGGCAAATTAATTTCTCTGAGTTTCATTTTCTATATCTGTGAAATGGAGAAGATAATTGAAGCCTGCCTATCCCAGAGTCACATGTTATGTTCACTAAACTAGTTTCTACCTTCTCTTTCTTGTGAAGGACGTTTTTTTGGAGGCTAACTTGGTTTCCCTTTAATTGCAAATGCTGTGTTATCTAGCGATTTTATTTTATTGTGCTATATAACTCCCTGCTACTGCCCCAGATTCTTAGATTTAAATAATTGTTGGTTTCATCAGCAATTTTTTTTCCTTAAAATAAATTCTCACAGATGGAAATAACTGGACAAAAGAAGATAGATTCTTAAGATTTTAAAAGTATGTTGCCATCTTGCCTTCTAGAAGGGTTGTGACAGCTGACAGCCCCACGGTGTTTCAGGGTTCCCTTCCCACTGACGCTTACAAAAAATGGGTATGACAGTTTTTTAAACCTGTAAATCTGAGTGAGGTTTTATTTCCTTGTTTTATATTGCATTTCTTTGGTTACTAGTGAAGCTAAACTCTTATATGTTCCGTTCTCTTGTAACGAACGTTGCCTTGGAGAAGTCTGGTGCCAGCCTGCTGTTTCTCCCTGTGTGGGTCGCCTGGCACTTCTGCCTGCTTACCTCCAGGAGTCTTTCCTTAACTTGGAATTCTAGTAACTTTACTAGGATATGTCTTAGTAACACTTTTACTTGCATCAAAAGTGTCATTTCTCACAGGAGATTGAACTTCTTCCCTTATTTCAAGAAAATTTTGTAAAATTATATGCTTCCATAGTTGTTCAGTTTTATTATTTCAGTTTATTTCTGGGAATACTCCAAGTATATATGTTTTGGGGTCACATGTAGTATTATAAGTGTAGTCAGTTCCAAAGAGCCTTTGTGCAAAAGGGAAGTGGAATTATCAATCGGATCAGTTTTTAAATGATTTTTCATTATTTTGTGTTGATGCTTTGTAGGTTCCAATCAATAAAGAGACCATTAGCCCACGCAGGGGACCAGTCCCACCACTAATCAGTCACGCCGCACTCCTCCAGGCCCAGCAGCAGGCCGTGCAGATGAAGGCTGCTGTTCAGGGCGGGCAGGCTTTTGTGGCTGTCACTTCAGAACAGAAGAAAAATGCGTGTCCAGCCTCTCAGACCCAAAGGAAAGCCTCAGAGGGTGTGAGAAAATCTTTTTTTAGTCACTTATTTAGTAAATGTGATTTTACCTTATTTTAAAAATTTTTTTCTGTGACGTCCATTTAGTCCTGGTTATGGTTTAGTCAATCAGGTAAAGCTTTACATGAAAGGATATGATTAGCCTGGTATTTAAATCATTTATATTATGGTTAGCTCTATATGCTAGACAATAAATGGTAAGTATTTTGCATACATTCTTACATGGAGCAAATTGCTTTATAAATGATTTAAATTTGTTTTTCTTGGATGTCCTGGAGTTGGTTATTGGGATCCTTTTGTGTTTGCATTTTGTTTTCTTCAAGGAGAAAAAATATACATATCAAGCCTGTAAACGAAGTGTTGTGAAATTTTAATTGATTGAAATAAATTCAAATCATATGAGGCTACTGACATTCACATTTACCTTTTCCTTCTTCTCTTGTTCGTTGAAACTTCTTAGAAAGTTCACGTACATCAAACGGCCTTCACGTGGATATAGTTCTTTTAAAGGAAAATCCAACTGCAAAGCCAAGCAGATCCCACATTCCTGTGAAGAGTGTTGCTGCTTTTCCCATAAAGGTATGACAAACTAAGTCTGAGAACCAGGATTTTATTTCTAATAATCATCATATTCTGCATACATATAGCGCCTCTTGGAGATTGGCTGTATTCTTCTCTCCAGAGATGCCTAATTCAGATAAATGCCAGACCTATTGCAGAGAAATTTCAACCTGTCTGGCTACTGTTAGATGTAGTTATTTTCATTTTATCATGGGATTTGTGCTTGTGTGTCACTTTCAGTTATTTTGTGTTTCCTGTCCTTGGAAATATTAGGCATTTTTTTCAGACCTAAAAAAAATCTGTGCTGTGATTAACCTAAGCCTCCTCAAATTCTTTCAGAGGGAAGTGTTACATTGGAATATGCCTTTCAAGCCACATCTGGTGAGGGTGTATATGTGTAAGTGTATGAGACAGATGGACAGACCTCTAGAAAATAAGGCCTGTGTGTCACACAGCAGTACCACCTCACCTCTGTGTCATTTTTTTCCACTTGTGTCACTGTTTTTTTTTAATCAAGTATACTTTAACAGAATACTGCATGTCAGTTTTAAGGCTTCCTCCCTCCCTAAAAAGTGAGGTAGATGAACTCATCCTAGAATTCTCAGTCTTTTTAAGTCCTTCAGAAGGAATCTAAACTTGTTTCTTGCTGGGGTCGTTGTAATAGTGAATATGCACAGATCCGTCATAAATTTAAGTCTAAGCGTTTTTCTTGATGAAATGGTAACTGAAAGGCATTGGGACATATATTTGTTTTAAGAACAGTAAACTACGATGGGGCGGGGATAGCTGAGTGGTAGGGTGTGTGCTTAGCATGCACAAGGTCCTGGGTTCACTCCCCAGTACCTCCAAACAACAAAAGAAAGAACACAAAGAATGGTAAACTACTAACCTTCCTGAACGGGGATCAGAGGACCACATCCCAGCTCTAAGAACCTGGATGTGAAAATAGTAGTGTGATGAGATGAGCCATCAGCTCAGCCGTAATCATGGACATAAAGGGGACCTTTGTCCCTTATGTGAGTGTAGATCATTTTGTATCTCATGTATCCTACTTTTACTGAATTAGAAACTTGAAATTAATTTTGATATAAAATTTACCAAAGATAGTTTGACTCCTTTCATGCACACAATAGAATGTTAATTAGAAGGCTCATGTGTTCTTTTCTCTAATTTTGATAATTTTATATTTAACAAGACATTGAAATACAAGGTGGCTCATAGGATGCAGGCTTTGGGAGCCCCTGAGTCCTCGTGCAGAGTTCCTGGTGAGGTAAGACAACGCTGTGTCAACCTTCTTTGAGAAGTGTTTGAGAGTTTGAGACAGAGGCTGAGGCTCTTAACAGGGTCAGTACTGAAGCATGTAATTTATCTGAAAACACACACACACACACACACACACACGCACATTTAGTATTACATTGAATAAAACACTCATGGGGCACAATTAGCAAACAGTTTTATTCAGTTTCTCTCTACTGCTCTTTTGAAACCAGGCTCTGGGATTGGTTTTTCCCTCCTTGTTAGATGACGTTTTTGGTCGTCTTAAGTGGTAGGAAGTACTTCGGTTACTCTTAGTGATAAAATTGTCAGTCTCATGATTTCATACCAAGGCCAGTAGTATATTAATCTGATCAGTGTCTCCCCCCTTTGTATACTATCTAGTGAGCCATGGCCTCCACCACTCCCTACTACATACATGGCCCACTATGCTCATTGTAAGCTAGGCCTGGTCTCTTGGCAGCATCTGTGTTTGCAGTGTCTACTTAAAACCTTTTTTCCAAACTGAAACGTTTGGATCAGTGGCAACAGCTCTAGTTCCCACCCCATGCGTATCTTCACAATGCGGTGTGGAGTGGGGAGGACTGTGGGGTACTAGACAGAGCAAGTCCCATCTAAAGGGGGGGCGGATACTTCTCAGCTCCATCTGATTATTGGAGTTTAGAAATTCATACATTTTGGACTTGAATTTCCAATCTTTCAATAATTTTTATTTTAAAATCTCTGTTTACAACATGGTTAGACAAACACATGTCTGAGCACTAGATTCGGGCTTTGTGCTGCCTTTCCTCTGATTGAGGCTAATTCAGATGCTCTGAGAGTTATTAAAAAAAGACAGTGGGTGGATGCAGCAGAAGCAGATGTCAGGCCAATATGAAAAAGACCTTTGTAACTGATACGCTGTCCATAAAACAGCAGATTCACAAAACAGTGGGCTGCCAGTTGCTAGAAGTGTTTGAGATAGAAGCTAACATTGCCATCACCCCCAGCATACCCTATATCCTTTGTCAGTCACTTCCACACTCCTCCTTACCTCCCAGCCCTAGGAAACCACTAGTTTACTTTGTTTCTTATAAGTGAAAGTGTTTTATAATTTTATTTTCAAATTATTTATTACAAGTGTGTAAAAAATACAGTTGATTTTTGACCTTGTATCTTGCAAACTTGCTAAATTTGTTTACTAGTTCTAATAATTTTTAGCCAGTTCCTTGGGATTTTCTTTATAAAAGATGATACCATCTGTGAGTAGAGATTGTTTTGCTTCTTCCTTTCCAATCTGAGTACCTTTTATTTCATCTTCCTGCCTGATTTCTCTAGGCACAAACTTCCAATACAAGATGGAGTAGAAATGAGATGAGGGAGCATGTTTATTTTGTTCCTCACTTTGGGGGGAAAGCTTTCAGTTTTTCTTCCGTGGGTTTTTTGTACATGTCCTTTATCAGTTCCATCTAAATTTTCTAATTTATTGGTATTTGGTTGATGATAGTGTTCCTTTATAATTCTTTTTATTTCTGTAAGTTCTGTGATGTCTTCTCTCATTATTGATTTTAATAATTTGAGTCCTCTCTTTTCTTGGTCAGCCTAGGTAAAGTTTTATCAATCTGGTTGATCTTTTCCAAGAATCAACTTTCAGTTTGGTTGATGATCTCTATTTTTTAATGTTCTGTTTCACTTATTTCCATTCTTGTATTTATTACTTTATTCCTTTTGCTTTCTTTGGGTTTAGTTTCCTATTAAAAGTTTAGTTTCTTAAGGTGGACGTTAAAATTACTGACTTGAGATCTTTTTAATATAGCCGTTTACAATACTAATGTTACTCTAAGCACTGCTTTAGGTGCATCCTTCAAGTTCTGTTATGTTGTGGTTCCATTTTAATTAATCTCAAAGAATTTTTAGTATACCTTTTATTTCTTTGACCTGTTGGTTATTTAGCAATGTGTAATTTAATTTCCTCGTAATCATGCACTTCCCAAATATCCTATTACTGATTGCTAATTTAATACTTTTGTGGTCAGAGAACATACTTTTTTGTGACTTCAGTCCTTTTAAATTTACTGAGATTGTTTTATGACTTAACATAGGATCTGTTCTAGAAAACATTCCATGTGTACTTGAGAAGTGCATGTGTTCTGCTCTCACTGTGTGGCATGTTCATAGATGGGTATCAGGTATAGCTGCTTCCTAGTTTGAGGTATTCCATTTTCGTTTTGATCTCCTGACTTGTATCCATTACTGACAGTATGCTATTGAAGTCTCCAATTGAAGTGCTGTTTCCCCAGTTCTGTCAGTGTTTTGCTTTGTGTATTTTGGTGCTCTGATACAAGATGCGTATTTGTTTATAATCGTTAAGTCTTCCCGATGGATTGACCCTCTCATCATTATAAAATGTCTGTCTTTGTCTCTAGTAACACCTTTTGTTTTAAAGATGGTTTTGTGGGGGAGGGTATAGCTCAGTGGTAGAGTGTATGCTTAGCATGCATGAGGTTGTGGGTTCAATTCCCCAGCACATCCAATAAATTTTTTTAATAAATAAAAAATTAAAAAATACAGTTTTGTCTGATATTAGTGTAGCTGCTCCAGCTGTCTTTTAGTAAGTGCTTGTAGAGTGTCTGTTTTCTTCCTTTTACTTTCATCCGATTTGATCCTTGAATTCCATGTGTGTCTTGAGGACAGCCTACAGTTAGATCATATTTTTCTGTATTCTCCCAAATGTAAATGGAGTGTTTAATTCATTTACATTTAATGCAGTGACCAATAACTAATAAAGTAGGATTTACATTATCTGTTTTGCTATGTGATCTTTACATCTTGTGTCTTTGTATTTCCTTTGCAATCACTGCTTTCTTTTGTGTTAAATATTTTCTGGTACAACTTAAGTGCCCATATCATTCTTCTGACAGTATTTTTTGAATACTTTTCTTACTGTTTGCCCTGGAATTACAGTTACCATTTTAATTTATAAGAATCTAGTTCAAATTAAAACAACCTTAATTTCTTTTTTTTAACATTTTTTATTGATTTATAATTTTACAATGTTGTGTCAAATTCCAGTGTTCAGCACAATTTTTCAGTCATACATGGACATACACACATTCATTGTCACATTTTTTTCTCTGTGAGCTACCATAACGTTTTGTGTATATTTCCCTGTCCTATACAGTATAATCTTGTTTATCTATTCTGCAATTTTGAAATCCCAGTCTATCCCTTCCCACCCTCAGCCCCCCTGGCAACCACAAGTCTGTATTCTCTGTCTATGAGTCTATTTCTGTCCTGTATTTACGCTTTGTTTTTGTTTGTTTGTTTTTTAGATTCCACATATGAGCAATCGCATATGGTATTTTTCTTTCTCTTTCTGACTTACTTCGCTTAGAATGACATTCTCCAGGAGCATCCATATTGCTGCAAATGGCATTATGTTGTTGGTTTTTATGGCTGAGTAGTATTCCATTGTATAAATATACCACATCTTCTTTATCCAGTCACCTGTTGATGGGCATTTAGGCTGTTTCCATGTTTTGGCTACTGTAAATAGTGCTGCTATGAACATTGGGGTGCAGGTGTCATCCTGAAGTAGGGTTCCTTCTAAAACAACCTTAATTTCAATAGTATACAAAAAAATTTGCTCCAGTGTACCTCCCTTTCTGTGCCCTCTTTTATACCATTACTGTCACATAAATTACATCTTTATATATTATAAACCCATAATTCAGTTTTATAATTCTTGTTTTATGCTATTGTCTCTTAAAATAGGAGAAGAAATGGATTATAAACAAAAAAATTATTCTCTTGTACATTTCCTTAAGAAGTGACATTTACCAGTATTTATTTGTTCATGTGGATTCAAATAACCATCTAGTATCCTTTTCAGACTGAAGGGAATCCCTTTAGCATTTCTTGCAGGATAGATAAACTAGTGACAAATTCCCTCAGGGTTTATCTGGGGATGTCTTAATTTCTCCTTCATTTTAAGGAAGAGGTTAGCTGGATATAAAATTCTTGGTTAACAGTCTTTTTCTGACAAAACTTTGGGATGTCTTTCTACTGTTTCCATGGTTTCTGATGAAGAATCAACTTTTCACCTTATTAAGGGCCCTTTGTCTGTTAAGTCATTTTTCTGTGACTCCTTTCAAGATTCTGTCTTTGTCTTTCACCAGTTTGACTATGACCTGTCTAGGTGTGGCTTTCTGTGAATCAACTCCCCTTGGGGTTTGATGAGCTTCTTGGATGTGTGGATCAATAGTTTACATAGTATGTGGGAGGTTTTGGCAATTATTTCTGCAATGTTTTTTCTGCTCCTTTCTCTTTCTTCTTTTCCTGTGGAACTCACATTATGCATATGCTGGTATGTTTAATGGTGTCCCACAAGTGTCCGAGGCTCTGTTCATTTTTCTTTGTCCTTTTTTCTTCTCCTCACACTGAATAACCACTATTACTCTATCTTCAAGTTCACTGTCATTTCTTCTTATTTCTGCTGCTAGCTCATATCTGTGGGTGAGCCCTACAGTAAATTGCTCATGCAACTTCTGTACTTCTTAACTCCAGAACTTCTAAATTTTTCTCTATTTTTATAATTTATCCTTATTGTTATTATCTATTTGATGTAACATCATTTTCATACTTTTCTTTATTCTTTAGACATCATTCCATTAATTTTTAAACATATTTAAATAACTGGTTTAAAGTCTGTGTCTATGCTTTTCTGCTGAATAGATCCACATCTCATCGAGCCAGGCTCATCTATTTTGTTCTCTTTCTTGGTGTTACATTGAGACAACAGTGAATTCTATTCCATTTGAATCATCAGAAATTCCTTCATTTTGCGTTTACTGGGTTTTTTTCCCCTTGTACTTCTGTGATGAGTGTATCACCATTCTTCTCTCCATCACCAAAGGAATAAATAATTGATAAAATCCAACAGCAATGCAGAATAAAGGGACTAAGAGACCTTTGTAAGGCACTGGGATTAAAAAAAAAAAAGTCTGTTTCTATGAAGTCCCAAATCTGGGCTTTCTCAGGAATACTTTTTCTTGGCTGCCGTTTTTCCTGTGTGTGGTATACTTCCCTGTTTCTTTATATGTCTTATGACTTTTTGTTAAACTGTGCAGTTAGATAATATGTTGTCATAACTCTAGTGTCAGATATGTGCTGTTTTGTTGCTAGGTTTTTGTTGTTTTTCTTGTTGCTACTTACCTCTTGACTGACTTTTGTGAACTAATTCTGTGGACTCTCTGTTGCTTCCTGTATATGGCCACTAAATTCTCTGGTGGCGTTTTGTTTTTTATTTTTAATCCTTGCTTTTATTTTCTATTTTATGGCGCTGACTTCATAGGAGTCACCCTGTGTTGGTATAATTTAGTGGTCAGCCAGTGGCTGGTTAGAAAAGTTTCTTAAATGCCTTGTCCATGTGTGTTCCACCCTTTTCCTCCCTTCCCACAAGGGGATCTATGTGAGAAGGCACGCCTTCAAACTGGTTGCAGTTTGTAAGACAGCCTTAGCTTTTGCTTCCTGTTTGTGAGGATTTCAAGGTCAGCCACTAGGAGTCTTCTCTTCTCCCAGATCCTTCTTGGGCCACCTTTTATGCCCCAAGAATGTTAGAGCTTTTCAGAGTTGGTTATGATCATATAGCTCCCCAAGATTTCCTTTTAAATTCCTGGTCGGCTCTTGTTTACCAACTGAGATCACAGCCCTCAGTAGCCGCCGTGATGCCACCCAGTCGCTGTTTTGATAATGCTCTGGGGATGGGTTTTTTTTTCTCTCATGAGCTGAACTCTGAGTCAAATCAAATGCCCACTGCACCCTAGGAAGAGAGATTTCCCAGGGAGCTGCTTGTATGGGCAAAATATTGACTGCGCTTGGGGGATGATGCTCTTAATGTAACTCTTAAAGAGGTCTGTCCTTTCTCTTGGCTATCAGCTGCCAGGTTTTTTTTTTTTTAATGGCCATGGTGCCACTAAGCTGGGCAGAAAGGGGGATGGGAATAGCTTCAATCTAAAATGGTACAGACCCTGCCATTTTACTGAGGTTCACTAGTTTCTCTTAGACAATTTTCAGTTTGTCCAATGGCTTTGACTAATTTTCAGAGTTTTGAAATGGTTAGTTTTAGTTGTTTTGCATTTTTTTTTTTATTCTTGTGGGACAGTTGAGAAGGTTCTTGTCCTGCCATTCTGGAAGTCTGTCTCCTCTAGGATTCTGTGTTAAAGAATAATGGCAAAGCAAAAGCAAACAAAAAAGGAGCCTCTTACAGAGAAATGTTACACTTTTTCTTCCAGCTGTGTCTTTTTCAGCATCTCTGTCCTGGCTTATGTGCTCTGTGCCACGCCCCTGGGGCGCTCTCTCTTGGGTGGTCTAGTGTAGTGAGAGGAGCCTTGGGTTAGGCCCTCGGGCGCCCCTGGAACCAGTCACCGGCTCTGCAGCAGTAAGCAGGATCCTGACTTGAGCCTTAGTTCCCTCGTACAAACTGGTGGTGATGTCACCCATCCTCCCGGAATCACAGTGAAGATTAAATGTGAAAACATTTAACGAGCCTATGCCAAACTTGTATGCACTAGATGCACAATAAATTATTAATATAATACACAGTTTATTACTCTTTACTTAGTTCTCTCATGTTATCCCTTTTTACTGACCTATCTTAATGAGTTTTAGTATAAAAACAGGAATCACTCAATAGGTTTAGGAAAGTAACTTACAGAAGAAAGATAATAAGAAGAGGATCATGTCTTTCCTTTGCTGTGTGATTTTAAGCAAATTATTTAGTCAGTTTGGGCCTTAGTTTCCTCACCTTTTAAACGAGAACAGTAGTGTGTGCCTCTGATAACGCTAGGGCCTTGCCTTGAGAATCCATGAGTTCATGACGTTGGAGGATTGGTGGAGGCTTTGCATCCTGCACTGTCCACAAACAACAGTGGTCTGTAGTTTGTAAAGAAAAGTGTCTGGTTCTTGGGTTAGATTCCTGGGATTCACTTTGCTTTTTTTCCTTTCCTTCTCAGAAAGCATAAACACAAAATATAAAATAGATTGCTTTTTATTTGTGGCACCATTGCCCCCATCCCTTGAGTTAGGTAAATATTTTGCCGTATTTATCCATTAGGTTGCAAGTCACATTTATTGTTCATAGACTTTGGATTTAATATTTTCATTTAATTAAATGAATTTAATTAAAATGAATAATTATTCACTTTATGATCTAGGCTAAAATAGAAGAAAAGGCCATTTATGAACACTGTGGCAGTCAGAATATGTATATGAACATAGCAATTAACACTCTTAAGAAGCTGAGAGAGCAAGGTAATTTCTTTTCAATTAATCAAATGATAAGAGAAAAACCTTGTGATTAATTCCTGACACTGAATGTGTTTTCTTCATCAGCAGGGTCATTTTTAGATGGTTAATGAAATGTGTGTTTTAAATATTCTCTTGAGTAGAATGTGCAGGTGGCATTTTTTTGGTTGAAAATAACAAATGAGACTTGAAATTGGACGGATAAAGGTAACCTCATGGAGAGAGGTTATCACTGATGCATTTAAATTTGATTTCTGATTGTAAAAGTAACTTGCCTCCATGTGGAATAGTATTTCTCAACTTAAAAAAAAAATTGTCCCCCTAAGATATCTTTTTAGAGACTGTTTTTCACTTCCCCCACTGCAGTAAAATTAAGTACTGAGGGATAATATTTTGTCAGGTAAGGCTAAGTTATGGAGAGCCAGGTACCATTGTAATATTGAAGATTTTTTCATTCCTAAAGAGCCAGTTTTGCTTCTGAGGGCAGTACCACCCCCAATGAGAACACCTGGCATGAATTCAAATAATACAGAAAAACATTTTAAAAAAAAGTCAAAGCCAACTCTCTTCCACATCTCTTATATAGCGCCTTCCTTACGTGGTACAGAGATGTATAAAATGAGTACAGTCGTTTTATATATGGTGTGTCTAACTTTTTTCTCTTAATAAGGTCTTCAGTCAGTTAATCTGGAATCTAAGTTCGTATCTAGATCTGTGTCATACTTTTAAGTGATCACAGGCTACTCTGTTGTACAAAACCTATACTTTAGATATTCCATTGTGTGGAACCTGTAATGCAGATGAACGAAACATGCCTGAGTATGCAGATTGCTCAGTTTTCTCAAGTGTAAGTTCTGTGATAAACATGTGTGAGCTCGTGTCGCACTTCCTCAGACCCGAGCTTATGTACCTTCAGCGCACATTGCTGTGCACAGAGAAGCTAGCAGAAGGGGTCTGCATATTTAAAACTGGTAAATATTGTTAACTGCCCCAGAAAGGGTTGCTCACTTACATGCCCCACTGATAACATCAGAGCGTAAGTGCTTTTCTTCACATCTTGCTAAACTTCATCATTTATCCTGCTTTAGTGATTTTAGTATTTTTTATTACCGTGAAGTTGAAGATCTTTTTCTCCTTCTTTTTAAATTCCTATTTGTCCTATTTAAATTGTTTGCCTCCCTCTGCCTCCCTTGTTAATTGGCTTTTCATTTGGGAGAGGCTTTTCCATATCCCCTTTTAATATGCTGCAGACATTTTCTTCCATTTGTCACTTGTACTTCAACCTTATTTATAAAGTTTTTTTTTAATAATACTGAAGTTATTTTCAAAATGTAATCAGTCTTTTCTTTTTGGTTTCTGGGTTTTGTGTCTTGCTTTGAGAGGCTGTTCCGTTCTCAAGAACATAAAAACTGTCCACCTGTGATTCTTTATGGCATTTGTGTACATGCAACGTGTTAAGTAGACTGAAATACAGGTATTAGAATATACAAGATCTCTTAGATTAGTATTTTCATGGTATTCTAGCTTTCCCCTCTTTCACGTATTAAATATAACACAAAGAAATAGAACATGAAGGCTAAGTACATATGAAAACAGAAGTGATTTGCAAGCTGTAGTTGTGGTAGACGATGAAATAAAGCTCAGTGACTCAAGTTGAGGCACGTGCTATCCAGTCAGAACGTATTAGTTTTAGCAAATAGAAAATCCTGACCTTTTTTCAGTAGTTCAGTAGATTTAACTTTTTCCCAACATGGAATTGGTTATGAATATGGTTGGCTTCACAGGTTGGGTGGTGGTTTTACAATAAAAATAAATATTTTACTATGCTTTAGACCTTTGTATGTCTTTTATGTTTTTATGTAGTAAACAAAAATAATTCATCATCTCAGAAAAATTCTTGTATGTTTTAGATGTGTCTGGAAGCAGTGACGACAAGACAACTGGATTGAAAACGAATAAAAAGGAAAATGGTGAGTGTCCTGTAATCATGACAGGCCCTTCTTGTTTTTGTTGTTTTTTTCTTTTTTAGGGGAGGTAATTAGGTTTCTTTCTTTCTAAATGGAGGTGCTGGGGATTGAACCCAGGACCCCGTGCTTGCTGTGCATGCGCTCCACTGCTGAGCTGCTCCCTCCCCCACCCGAGGCCCTTGTGATTGTAACCTCAAAGGGGAAGTAAATTTGGTAGAACACAGCTATTAAACGATTGTGTTTGTGAAGGCAAAGCTGTATACTGTGCACATGTGATGTCCGTTTTAAAAACTAGTCAAAGTTGGAGATGAGAAAATGGACTTTTATATAAGCAATATTTGGGTTGAATTCTCAACTTTTATTTTTGGTAGTTAGCATAAATCTAGTCAGCAAGAGGAGTGCTGCTCAAACTTTTAGACTTTACATGTATTGGGATCACCTAGAAACCTTGTTGAAAATGCAGATTCTGGTTTAGTGGATCTTGAAACAGCTTCAAAGTCTGAACTGACAACAAGAAAGATGGAAAAGAAAAGGAGTTACTTGAATTTGGTTGTATTTTGAATAAAACCAGATGGTTGTGCTTCTCTTGTTTAAAAAAAAAGCCTCATATATAAGAGTTGAGGGTGGGAAGGGACAGACTGGGATTTCAAAATGTAGAATAGATAAACAAGGTTATACTGTATAGCACAGGGAAATATATACAAGATCTCGTGGTAGCTCACAGTGGAAAAAAAAGTGACAGTGAATATATGTTCATGTGTAACTGAAAAATTGTGCTCTACACTGGAATTTGACACAACATTGTAAAATAACTAACTCAATAAAAAAATGTTTAAAAGAAAAAGGAACACACATACACAAAAAGTTGAAACAATGGAGATGCTTTTAGAGTCTCCTCACACTTCTATTAGGAAGAATTTTTCCTCTTACAAAAGGGTTTGTTAAGGAGTGTCTGGCAAACCCTGCTAGAGTTTTTCATCATAAATTAGAGAAGCTTTCTTGAGAGTTCATTAGAGTGAGGGTGTCTGAGACTGGGTTACTGATGTTGGAAAGAGATTCTTGAACTTGAGCTATTTTGCCCTTGTGAGAGTCATCCTGTTCCCCATTGTTTCCTGCTTGGAAGCGTTTGTACTATTCTTGTCCCAGTGAGTAATGAGAATTGTTAAGCAGGATTAGGGACCCCAGAAGGCCTGGGTTTGTGTGTCACTTGTGCTGTGTTACTTTGGTTATGTGTCCTTACTTTTCTGAGCCTCCTTTTCCTCATCTGTTAAAATGAGGTCAGTCTGCTTGCCTTTCTGAATCAATGTAAAGTTTCTGGCATGCTTAATGTACACCAGCCATTACTGCTATAATTCTGACTTTACATTCTCTCACCCAAAGCGTAGGACATTGAGTGGTCCAAGGAACCATATTGATTTGTCTTTATTGCTGTTGAAGGATATGAAGCCTTGGATTCTTTTAGGCTATGGCCTTACTTAATGTTAATCAGAATCCCAGCATTTTGTATCTAAAAGGGCTGGTAGACTCTAAACTTTACCACTACTTAAAAAAGAAAAAAATGTGATTTAAATTTTATTGAACAGCCTTTTCTTTTTCTTCTTTCTTCTTTCTTTTCCAGTGCTCACAGGAATTATTCTCTACAGACATCTTAAAGACTACCTTCTAACAGAAGAACAGTTACATGAAAATAACTACCCCCAACCCAACCCTGACAAACCAGGAAGTGTTCTTTTAAACCCAGGCATGACAAGAACTCTTGTAAATGATGGTAAGTATATGGGACCAAAAATTATCCTTTCTACACGCTAAGACTGGAACCCTAGAGGGCCCAGTGCTGTGATATTTTTTTAATGGAAACAAGATTTGTTGCCAATGTAATTAATTATACTGCAGGTAAAAGCATTGCTACGTTTCATTTGGTTTCCCTTTCATTTTATTCCCAATATCTTGGGTGCTTTATTTACATAATCCATTTTATTAACTCTTCTTAGCAGGTAAGTACTGTTAACTGCCTCTGTCACCAAGTCCAAACGCGTTCTCCTTTCTACATGATGGGCCAATAAATAGGGAGAAGAGGTGTTGGGGCAAAGAATACCGACTTTATTTGGAGAGTCAGCAGACTGAGAAGATGGCAGAATAATGCCCTGGAGAGCCATCTTCCCCAGGTCAGAGTTCAGGCTCCTTTTAAAACGGGGGTGGGGGGAGGTGTGGTTCATTGTGGCAAACTTCTTGGTGTCAGAACCCTTTGTTCTGGCAGCTGTCCGCGTGGGTCAGGGCACGATGTTCCTGTAAGCCTCCAACCAGGCAAATGTTATTCTCTGTTCTGCAACTTTTTTTTTTATCTCTGTATGAGTGGACAAGTGTTATACCCTTAAAGTTAGAGCCTTGAGAATGGGCTGTCCTGTGTATTTCAGGCTAGAGGCAACATTATTTTACAAAAGGTGCAGAACCAGCATGACTAAGCCCTGGAAGCAGAGCATGAGGTTAGAGCTAAAGGAACCGATCCAATATGAAGTCGGGTTGGTTCTTCTGTTACACCTCTATTTACACAAATGAGGAAACTAAAGCTCAGAGAGGTCAAATAATTTATCAAAGGTCACTCAGAAAATAAGTGGTAGAACCGGGATTTGAACCCAAGGAGTGTGAGGTGCATGCTCCTGCTCTTACCACCATTACATACACAGGCAGTGCCATGTTCTGTATACTCCATACCCTTTCATTAGGGATTCTTACACAAAGACTTAGAATTAGTCTTTTTATTTTGCATTTTCTCCACATACTGGGCATAGTTAAGGTATTTATCCCCACTTCCCCCCAAAAAGAGGATATTTAACATCACAACTGTGTCAAATCTTAGGTCCATCAGTTTGAAATACAGTTACGAAAATATTTTCCAGTGACGAGAAGATGCTTATCTTCATCTTTTGCATCTTTAGAACTTCTCTCTCAGGATTATTTTTACCATTTGTTTTACCCCTCTTTTTTTTTTTTCTTTTTACAGCCTCTCATTGGAAGGTGGAAAATTTAGCAGGCAAGAACACGGGCTTTGAAGGAGAAAGTCAGGGAAATCTGGGTTTGGATGCTGGATGAGTTATTTAATGCCTCCAGCCTCACGTTTTGTTTCCTCATTTCAAACAATGAGATAATGGTAGTTGTCCCATCAGGTTGTTAGGAGAATCAGTTAAAATAGTGCCTATGAAGTGCTTGGCATGGTGCCTGCCTCCTGATCTCATAACAGATACTCAGATAAGAGTTGCTTTCATCATTATCAGACCCAGCCTGAGGGTTATTAATTAAAAAAACAAATATTCATGAATGGGTCTAGTGAAAAGCCCAGATAGCCTCTCAGTGACTTAATAAACAGATCACTGTATGGCTAAAAGGAAGCAATGGTCCTGATTCAGGAGGTAGCGTGTACTGGAGTCATTGACTAATCAAGTTAGCGACAGTCAGATTGTGGTGCTTAAACCACAGTTGCCTGGCCCTGGGCTGACTCTGGAGGCAGGCAGGAGAATGCAGCCCTGATGCCAGAAGCAGCTCACCTGCAAGGACTCCTTTGAAAAATCCTGTTCCTTTGTGATCACACTGGGTATGTGCTCACGACAGGATTGAGACAGCAAAGGCAAGTCCCTGCATTCTGGTCCTTGTCCCACCACCTCCCATCTGTTCATGAATAATTCTACTTCTTGTTTTGTTTTAGCTTCTAAGAAGATCTACTGTCGATGTAGGAAAATCTATGGCATGACTCCCGCGGGCAAGCACAGCGGGGTGGAAGAGCATCACTACCACTCTGGCCAAGCGTTCAGTCATAAAGGCAAGTATTTGGTGGTTCGGTTTCATTTATGTGACCAGCCAGTGCCAAATTGAGAGAAAAGTGGAATAAATTACTCAGTTCAGTGTGTTTGTTAAATACAGTTCAGTAAAGAGAAACTGTCGATTCAGCGGTGAGTTACAAATACCTACTTGGCTGGGACCATCACTTGTTAACTTTGGAGCTCGCTGGCTCCAGACCTGTCTGGTTGTGACAACTCTTCTGCCTTTTTGTGACCGCAAGTCAATCAGATACCTCCTGACCACACCTGCTTTTTGCAGGCCAGTATTACAATAATTTGTTTGCTGACAGCTTTCATTCCTTGCCCCCCCACCCCCGCCTCGTGTGAGTGAAGAGAAATGCTCGAGTCCTTGCCCCGCCAGCCCCCGGGGTTTCTCCAGCGCAGTACATTCCCTGTGGTCATGCACATGGTTTTTTGGTTTTTTTTTTTTTGCTACTCAAACCAGAAAACCTGGGCGTCATCATCATCATCATCGTCATCTCCCTTTGGTGCCCCTTTCAGCTCAGCAGGTACTTGTCCCATTTGTTCTACTTCAAGAATGTCTCCAGAACCTGGTCTTCCCCACCTGTCCTCCCCCCACCGGGGCCGCACCACCCTCGTCTCCGCCCTGACCTACTGCAGCGCCCTCCGTGGCTCGCTCCCTGCCGCCTCCTTTCCTCTCTCTGCCTGTGCCCCTCCCCCATCTGTTTCTCACCTAAGAATAATTTTTAAATCAGTTTTGTTTACATCACTCCCCTGCTTTGTCAATCCTGCCAAATCTGGGCTCTGCCTCCCTATCTTGTACCCCTTACTGTAGTTACCTTCATACCACACTGGCCACCTTTCTGGAGTCTTCTTCCCTGCTGTTCCCTCTCCTTTTCACATGGCTGTTCTTTCTCATCCTTGAGGTCTGTGCTTAAATGTGACCCCTGCAGGGTTCTTTCCCAACTACACTCTCTAAAATATGTCCTCCCTCTTCCACCGCAGTGCCCCATCACTGCCTTTGTAATGATAGAGTCATTTATCTGCCATCTGCAAAAGACGGTGAGCTTTTGGAGGGACTGTCCATCTTTTTTGCTCCCTGCTGTCTGCCCAGCCCTTAGCAGGGTGCCTAACACATAAATGCTGTCAGTGTCTGTTGGATTAGATCAGGGAGCACATGAATTAGGTATGTAGATACAGACATCAGTAGAACAATACTGTAATAAATGCTATGAAGATAATAAAGCAGGGCAGAGGAACTGAGAGGAACAGTGGATACAATGAAATTACAGGATAAATTCATGAACAAATAATGCAGTAAAGTAAATCAGACAGGTTTTACCTGAGTGTTTAAAGCATGGAGGGCTTCGTTGTAGAGGGTGGGAGGGGTGTGAATTTGAAAAGAAGAAAAAGAGGAAGACACTGAAGAAGAATGAGAGTAGCAGACTGACCCCGGTGTGGAGTAGGTAGACCACACAGCATGACGAACAGAACGTGACTTTGGAGCCAGCAGACCTGAGATTCTGGGCTGTCTCACCAGTTCCTTTCTCTGAGACCTTGGACAAGTTTCTTAGGCTTTCTGAGCTTTTGTTTCCACATTCATAGAATGAGCTTTGTGTGGCGATTTAGTGAGCTGATGTGTCCAATTCCTGGCTTACAGCAGATGCTCTGATAATACTGGTTCTCTGCCTCCCTTGTTCATCACAGGAGAAGGTAAGATACGAGATGTTGAGTGTGGATGAGTTACTAGAAGTTTGGTTTAGTGGGACCCTTCAGCGCCAGCCTGAGAAATTTGTACTTGGTTAGTAACATGCAAGTGAAGCATTTGAGGAAAGTGATATAATGAAAATGTGCTTGAGGAAGATTAATCTGACCACATTTTCTAGAAAAACTGGTGCAGAAACCCCTATAGGCAGAGGGATTTATAGGGAACAGTTGGGAGAAGGTCACCTGGGGCCAGAGGGAAGAAGGGCTTGGGAGGGATGAGGGTGCAGATGAGGTGGCAGGTGCAAGTGAGATTGAAAATAAAAAGGTGGTGGGGGGATGAAGGCATGGGATGATTGCCATGAAAATGTGCAAAGCGTCTGGCCAAGGAAGTGGAAGAGGAGGGTGTCGGGATTTTGGAGGTCCAGCCAAGGTTGGAGACCACATCTGTGCTGTGGTCTCGGTAGACATAACTCTGTGGTGTGTCTTGTGTCAGATCAACAACTCAGATCCAGGAAGGGAGAAGGTGGTGGTTGGAGCCAGTCATTCAGAGGCTCCAGCACAGAGACCAGGTCTGGGAGCAAGAGAAGCTTTTGAGACGACGGTGGAGGTAGAGTTAAAGCAGGATGAAGAAGTGACACCAGGAGGGGAGCTGAGGGACCAGGACAAATGATCAGGGAGGTAAGGGAGAAAGGCATTAAGGACATTGGCAATTAAAATTCACCTTCAGGGTGTAAGCGCTGAGAACTCTGCTTCTGGGAGTCGGGTTTTTCCTGTTTGTTATGAAATATCTAGAACAGCAGCTATGCTGTTTTTGACTTTACATCAGATCACTTGCATGGTACAGCCTTAAAGGTCTTTGAGGGTATGATGCTCTGGGAGTCAGTTACTCTGCCTTGTCAAGCTTGCTTGTGATTTTTAATTTTCTGTGTGGTTTGCAGTCCCTGGTGGCTTAGAAACACGGTACAGCTGTTGCGAAGCTGTCCTTGGGTTACCCGGGTGTCAGGTCGCCAAGGTAAGGCTGGTCACCCAGAATGCTGCTTGTTTCAGAGCCAGAGTTGTTGCGTCCAGCACAGAACTTGGCTTGGGGATCAATAAGCACTTGATATAATTAATACACTTAATTTTCAGTTGACGAAATTTTTATGAGCTTAATTGCTCTTGCAAAAACATACAGTAACTTATTTGACAATATTTGTTTCAGCTTCATGTTCGTGACCAAAGAGAAAACCTAGAGGGCTTTGTGAAGACTTTTGTCAAGTTTCCACCCTCTGATGGGAATCACAGCATATTTGCTGTGAATTGCGAGGTGGTACGTTGGCTGTATATTTTACCTTATTTATACATGTGTAGGGAACATCCCCAGACTTTCTCTCTCAATCGCGCATAGCTCTGCATTGTTGTTCACACATTTTTAGATGAAGCACCTGAAGGTGAAAAGAGTTAGATGACTGATGGAGTTCTTACGTTTAGTGATGGAGCCAGGAATTGGTCCACTGGTCCTCTTTTTATTACCTATTAATTTTTCTTTATATATAACCAGTGGTTATCCTGCTCATAAAATTGCTGACATTATATGGGTGGAAAATGTTATGAATACTACTGTTATCCCCCAAATCAGCATAAAAGCTTTAATAAGTTTTTAAAAGCTATTGTTTGTAGAGACAGTGAAGTATTTGTAGGGGGTTATCTTTCATGTGAGAATCAATACTAATTGATTGTAGGGGAAAAACAGAACTTAGAGTCATGAGACCTGGGAAGCTCCAGTGCTTACCAGGCAAGTCTCCCGGATGCTCTAAGCTGTAAATTACAGGGTTGATAATAACGTCACAGTCATGGTAAGAATCAGATACACTAATATATGGAGAAGTGCTCTGTATATGTCACACATCATGTGAACAGTCATCTTTGACAAAACCTTAAATATTCTCTGGTGTATTTGGAAACCAGATTTGTGGAGTTTAATTATTATAAATATAGAAGGGAAGTGCTCAGTCTTCAAGTTTAGATCTTTACTTGCAAACAGTGAAAGCTGCCTCTGGCTTAGAAATCAGGTATCATTGCCGTTTTGTCGTCTACGGTGCCATGTTTATGTAACTATAGTATGCATTTTTTTCATTCAACAAGGTTTATAACTGCCTATGGTATCTACTAGCAAACAAACACGGTGATAAAGAGAACAGAGTGGTGGTTACCGGAGGGCAAAATGGGTAACAGAGGTCAACTGTATGGTGATGGATGGAAACTAAATTTTTGGTGATGAAGCATGCTATAGTGTATGTAGAAGTCAAAATACAATGCTGTACACATGAAGCTTACATGCTCTAAATCAGTGATACCTCCGTAAAAATAAAATTAAGTTTAAAATTCAGTTCCTTATTCATACTAGCCATATTTCAAATACTCAATAGCCACATGTGGCTAGTGGTACCATATTAGACAGGATAGAAGTAGAACATTTCATCTTCACAGAAGGTTCTGTTGGATAGCACAGGTCTCTAATGGAAACAATTGTAAAGCCAACACCAAGAAAATGAAATTACTTTATTAGCAGAAATATTAGTAACATTAAGGAGAAATTGAAGCTTGGAACATCTTTTATATGACTGTCAGTTCCACTGACTGGCTTCTGTTAGCAAAACTGAATGATAGGATTAAATTATATATTCTAGGTAGAAATACTCCTTTAAGATGTCCAAGATGTTAAAAGCAAATGTTTGCTATGATATATAAATTTGATAACTATCTTTATAGTGCTATACAGCCAAAGGTTTGGAACTTACTCGAGTGACAGTGGTTGACCCCAGCCTCCAGGTGGTCTATGACACCTTTGTGAAACCAGATGAGGAAGTCATTAACTATAACACTAGGTATGCGTTATACAAAGGGATCTGCTTTTGAGACTGCAGAACATTCAACTTGTAGTTTGAGTTTTAGCCTAGGTACTTTTATTGGAGTCAAGAGCATGAGTTACACTAGTTTCTGTAATTCATTTATTCAGAAATATTCATATTATGTTGAGTACCTCACTAAAATTATGCAGACACTGGCTAGATAAAAATTTCTGTAATCCAGTGGACATGTCGCTGGGTATACATAGCTATGATATGGCGTGCAGAAAACTGGTTCAGTGCAAATTCTATCTTATTAAAGTATGACATGCTTCTGATCCAAATTCAGTGATAACTTGTGATGGTATATATGTGCCTTTAATTAAAAAGCTCATCTGAAACACTCAATAATATCATCGATCACTTAAATTGGGCTTCCTAAAGGCATATAGGCCATATAACATGATAGATTTATATATTTATTTAAATATAAAATAGAAGGCACTTATCTAATTCTAGAATGAAAATGTTTTCAGTTTTAATATCCAAAGGTACTTAAATGACGTACATATACTTATATAAACAAATAACTTGATACACACATATATGTATTGTATATACTATAGTATATAGTTTCTAGTATTATAATATTTATATATTACATACAATATATATGTGCATGTCCATAATTTTGGAAAACAATAAAGCAAAGTGGTCACATTAAAACTTGTAATGATAAATTTTGAGAATAATTATAGTGAATTCAGCTAACAAGCATTTTCCCTCATAGTTCATAAAAATGGGTTGTATACATAAAAACTCATTAAAAGTTGCTGTTACCAGAAAATGTTACTAAATGTTTTTAACTACTTAACTAAATTGTAATTGATAAAACTCGGATTATGCAGAGATGATAGTTCGAGAAGGAACTTCGTGAACTTGTCATGTCTCCACACCCCCAGCCTTACATTATTGATCCAAATTATAAATTTTACTAGGTTGTATCATTATAACCTAGTAAAGGGGTAGTTGACAGTCACACATTAAGATCTGTGTTCTGTTCAGCAAATGTTTGTCACATTGAGTCAGTAATGTGTTCCAGCTACAGCTGATAAAATCTACTGAGCTGCATTCTTTACTTATGTGCATTGTGTCTTATTGGGGTAGGTTTTCTGGCGTGGTTGAAGATGACTTAAAGAACACTGAAACCTCAGTCCTCGATGTGCAGGCCTTCTTATTGAACCTGTTCAGCACTGGCACTGAATCGGACACAGCTTCGAGCATAGTCTCTACATTCTTAAGGTAAAGAGTTAGAGGCTTATACTCTTACAGAATTCTGTGTGTTAATACGGTGCTCATTGCCACTGTGTGTCACTGATGCTTGATTGGCCCTTTGAGACAAGAGAAAGGAGACAAGAATCACTGTCTGTGCTGATGACTTTGCCTGTTGTAAACCAGAAGCCGTGTGAGATAGCTAAAATTTGGCTAGTCAACATCAGAAAGTCCATCATCAGTTGTGATAAAACCAAAATCTTTATTTTGACATTGTTTTTGATCATTGTCTTTAATATTCAGATGGGAAAGACTAAGTTTATCTACTAGGCTATTTTAGTCATGTACTTGGAGATACTTCCTCACCTTAAGTCAAATGGCTCAGACCAAATGGCATGTTTATTTGTCTTGGCATGAGACTTGAACGTCTCCCGCTTTATAGGCACCAGGTAAAGTGATCTGTTCTTGGCTCCATGTTCTAGAACAGGAGTCAGCACACACTGGCCCATGTCAGCCACCTGTTCTTGCAAATATTTTTATTGGATCAGAGCCACCATACCCACTGATGTATGTATTTTCTATAACTGCTTTCCCACTACAATGGCATTGTTGGGTTATAACAGACAGTGTGGCCTGCAAGCCTAAAATGTTATAATTTGGCATTTGAAGAGTTTGGTGGCCACCCCTGTTCTAGAACAGTGCTTTGCAATAGAACACTCCATTTTATATTTTCATTATCCAGTATGGTAGACACTAGCCATATGTGGCTGTTGGGCACTTAAAGTGTGTCTAATGTGACTGAGAAAATGATTTTTTAATTTTGTTAATTTAAATTTAAATAGCCCTCTGTGGTTGGTGGCTACCACATTGCATGGCACAGCTCTAGAACTCTGGGGACCTTACTAAATGTTTGAGCTGCCCCCAGGATAGGACTTACCGTCCTGCAGGGAAGGGCTAGTTCCTCTTTAGTGCAAGGATACAAGTAAGGCCATTTAGTTTTTATAAGTGAATGTCCGCCTCTTTCTGTGTTAAGCTGGTATTCATAGTGTAGATACTTGTTTCAAACAGCACTGTTGTCTCTGCGTGTGACAGATAAAACTAGAATGTGCTTCCACCCAGACCCCATGCAGGTGAGGGAGAAGAGAGCCGGGGACCGAAGTTTTCTGGAAGAAAGGTCTTCACAAGGTCTTCAGCCTCTGAGACATCACCCCTCAAACTCAGTCTCCCTCCATGACTTTCCTATCTCTCGTTTCCTAGGATCCATTCTATTTCACCTAGTTCCCTGAGCAGAAAACTTCAAATCGTCACGTTCCTTTATTCCTTGTGATCAGTCTGTCCAGATTTCTCATAGATTTTTCTGTTTTTCTATTTCCATCATCACTATTTTATTTGCTCAATACTCAGAAGCCAGGAGCCAGTGCCTAGGAGGTGGCTGACTCGTTAAGTGAGAATGTAAAGTATTAATGGACGTGGTGTAGTCAGTGCTAGACATTAAATTTCCAATCCCTCTCTTCTCCTCAGTCTTTAAATGACTCTTGTCCTGAGGCGAATCTTCTGCGGTGCTTTTTCAAAATACAGCTCTTCTAACAAGGAATCCAAATGGGGACCTGACTGCCCAGGCTCTCGGTTATGGGAGGCCTCGCCCCCGTATCCACCCTGTTGTGTTTCTTGCTTTGCTAAACCTCAGTGGAAGTGTTCTCACCTTCTTCCATGTGTAAGCACAGGGCATTTGGATCTAGATGGGACTAATCCACGTCCACGCTCACTCCCCAGAGACAGACAAACCACTGAAATGGGACTTGCGCTGGACTGAGGTGTGTCCCCCTTCACTGAGTCACAGGGTGGGAGGAACCTGGCTCACCCTTCACTGCCCACTGCACCCCCCACCCCCGTAATTTTTGGAACCTCTCTGAACTCACGCTGCCCCCTGGTGGTGCTCTTTGGGTAGGAAAGTGGACCTGGAAGTCAGCCTGCTTAAATTTGATTTGTTTCTACTGTACTAACTCAGCTTAGCCAACTTAACCTCTCAAAACCTCAGCTTCTTTGGCTATAAAAATGGCCAATAAAATACCTAACTCATTAGGTTACCCTGCAAGTTGTGGTGAGAGAATCCAGGTGAAGTGCTCAGTGACTGGCCTGTCGTGACTGCTCGTGTTACTTGCTTGTGCAGCAGAGTTACTGCTGCTCCAGTTACTGTCGCGGCCATCGGTATCCTTATTCTTTGCCAAGAGCTTCTAAAGCATTTTTCTCTTTCATTTAACAGTTAATTCATACATCAGTTGTAGACACGACAGTTACGTTTCCTCATCAGCTAGGCTTGCCTCACATAAGCTCCCTGAGGAGCCTGGTGGCTGACTCCCTGCCTAGTCATTCAGGAGGACAGTAAGTGCCTGCTCGTTCCTGACAGACAGCAGGATCCTAAGTCTGACTTGAGTGCATAAATCGGGAGGCTCATGGTGACAAAGGTCCACTGTTTGAAATGCTTCCCTGGGGGTTCTCTCCCAAGGTAGCGAATCCTAAAGCATCTGACTAAGTAAAAACCATTTCCTGCCCACTGCCTGGTATAGTCTGAGATGTTCCACAGGCATCAAAACAGCAGTGAAGCTGAGAATGGTGACCACATCATTGTTCAGCAAGTTGCCTGGCCTTTAAATTCATGCATCAAACTTCTGTCGATGTGGAGATCTAATTTCACTAGAAATTTTGCTGTGTACCTCTTCGCATATGTGATTTTCATGAAACCTAATGAGACTGTAAAATCAAATGAGTCCAAGTCATCTCACCCAGGGTAAATAGTGTAGGTTGCATTAGAAAATGTACAGTTCAAATGAATAGATTCATTATGCATGTGCTTGCTCTGTACCAGATTAATATATCTTCCTCCCAGGACTTTTTCTCTTTTTGGTTTTTTTGATGAAAAATACCCAACATTAAACAAGTTATTCCAGTACAACAAGTCCAGCCACCAACTACCCTGTTAGTGATGTTGCCAGATGCACGAGATAACATGTCTGGCTTGGACTGGAGGTTACTTACTCTTTACATTCATGCTTACCCATACCGGCGGCCCCTCTTTTGCACAAGATAGAAAAGAAAGTTAATTTTGAGCATGTTAAAATTATGTTATGATGCTACTGTTTCTACAGATGCTTCTCTGATCACGTCATTTACTGTGCAAAATACGTATTTTACCTTAGGTCTCTCTCCTTTCAGTCTCTGTCTGTTACACACTAACTAACATCATCTTGCAAAGGATCTTTAATTGACTTTATCTGCTGTGGTCAAAATATTCATATCTTAAATTCCCACAAAATTCTATTATAAAATTTGTAACGTGTTCTCCTGAAACCAATCTTGAACCAGGGATGTAAAAATATTTCACCGAACAACAAAAAATACCCAGTGTGAAACAAAATCTTCTAAAAGTGATAGAATACCACAGTTCTCTCAGAATAACACAAAGAGAGAAACACAGAATGTTACATACCATTTTAGAAGTGCGGACTTTATGACTTTTCTTAATCTTGGGCATCATTTATTATTTTCACCAGAACAGTAGGCTTGATATCTTGAATAAATGCCATCTACTTTTTAAAACCATGTAATCTTGTAGCTAAGGCTCCCTTTGTCTAGCGAGGTGTACTGCTTTCTCTAGCATCCTTTATTTCTGGCTTCTTGTCAGATCTGTCACTTTGTGTGGTATCTCCCTGGAAAAGGCACCTGGAGAAGGTACTGATGTTCTGCCCAGTCATAGCAACGTAGTGACCATGTGACTGGACCGGCTACATAGGGAAAGGGAGATGTTTGTGCCTCTAGATTTATGTGAAACCTTTCTAAAGCAACCCAGAGGGGTTGTTCTAGGTGTAAAATAATATCTTAAGTGGCCGGTGCTGATTTTGTTAAAATTCAAGACTTCATTTTGAGACCACCCGTGGGTAACATCGCAGATAGACTTGTCTGTGTCTAACGTGTTAAGTTTATATTCTATACTGTTTGGAGGTCACAATTCAAGTGAAAATGCAACCACCTGCATGGAACTGGTCCTCTGGAAGGTGAAAGATGACCTGGAAGGAAAGAAGTAACCACTTGCTTGAGAATATCGTTTGTGTGTAGGGAGGGTAGTTACTGAGAATGTCTTGAGCTGCTGCATGGCTTCAGTGAGTTCTCGGCCTCCACTGCTGGCAGCAGAGTTTGCTCTACAATAGAATGAGGTTTCTTGACACTTTCAAAGAGAAGAGGAGAAGGAAAAGCAATGTTGAGGTTTATTTATTACATTTTAAAGGTTCAGTTTCCCCAGTGACTTTCAAAGTTGTGACTGGTAGGTAGAGGCGGGAAGGCTTAGGCTGTTTTGGAATTTGACTCATCTTTGTGGGCAGTGGGCCGATGACTGTGGAAGGTGCTTTAAAGTTGAAGTCATGGGTCCATGACTTTCACAAAGGTAGTTTCTCAGGTTATTTCAATTTCTTTTTCTCTCTGAATATCTAGAACCATTATACTGCTTGGAGTTAAAAACATCATTACCTAACAAGATTGTAACAGTTTTCGTTAGACATAGAAGTAGAGGTTTTCCCTCACAAAATATGTGGAAGTGACTGTACACTTTTCAGTGTACTCTGTTAACATAAAAGTTGTGGTTATTTGGCTGTTGTATAACGTGTTTTTATTCTGACTGGTGTGCTGTTACTTGATTCTGATTCATATCAACAACTCACCAATTTTTTTTTTAAGCAAGTGTCCTAGAGATCTTAACACTAAATTCGTATCTCCATACCCAGTGCTGGGGTTGTGTCATTCTTGTAAGCAGTTCGTTCTTTCTTAATTGCTTTTTGATAATGTGAAAACTGGCCTGTGGAGATGACATGACTTGATTCAGTTTGACTGTTTACCTTTGAGTATGAATCTTGAATATTAAGATTAACCAATCGTATGGCCCCTATGCCAGGAGTGAATCCGTGGCCGTCTAACAGTGGATGGTGAGGATGTGCCCTCAGTCAGCTCACCTCGGCTTGGCTGCCTTGGCATTTTAAATTTACAAGTAAATCTTAAGTATCACTGAACACCTTGTTCTTGCTTCAAGTACTTCCTTAGTCATCTGTCTTATCCTTGACGTGAAGTAAATTCGTAATGATGTAAATTTATCTTAGATAGAGTCAAGAAACTCAAGCTGTTATATAAAAAGCAGCCGTTATTGTGCATTCCAAAGCCACAGGCAGAATTTGAAGACATTTGCATTTTCAGATCATCCTGTTCTTGTTTGGTTCCGTGTACATGCAAACCAAGAATTGTCAGGAGTATTTCCACAACATTTGGGTAAAAAGCAAAAAGGAACTGTTACATACATATATGGACCTATTTTCGGTGTCTCTTCATTCTAGTGTCTACTTAGTTGATTAAGGAAATGGTGGCAGCAGTCCTGCTTTTGCTGTGTCTCCAACGAGTATGTTGTGAACAAAGAGCATCTGGGACAAAGACAGTTTCCTGGTCCATTTCTGATGCATAAAGTTGAGCAGATGGCAGAAGCATGGCACTGGCTGTGGTATGTTGAAAGATTAACATTGCAACACAATTTAAAGGGATTCCAGTTCTAAGCCCTCAGTTCATATTGGTTCGCTACCCAGGGTGCAAGAAAACAGATTAGACAGTAGGACACTTCCGAAAGACACTTTTAATCTTGTGAGCTTGAGCTACTTCTGGTGGAATATAGCTTATCTTCTGCTCTCGCTACATATTACTGACAAGTTAGAGGATGATAATTTAAAGTGTTTTTCTTTAATTTTAAAAAACTCGGCAATACCTATGAGACGCATTCCCAGACAGAAAGTGGGTAGGCAAGACATTTATTGACTTACTATATATGATCTCAGTGCACCATGGGCCTACAATCAATATAAATGGTAAACTCACAACGGATCAAAACTAAGACTTTTTACAATGTGCAATAATACAGGTAGAGATGTTAATTTGATATGCTAAATACCACGTCTCCCAAATACAACTCCAAGCTTCCTTTTTTAATTTCTTAATAAACAAATCCATGTTATCAGAGAAACTAAACCTAAATCCTATGAATTTATCAAACCTAAAAGTTCTTAGGCTTCTAGGAAGTGAGATTTAAGTCTGTTTTTCAGTGTTCGCCTTCTAGACTGACTTGTGGGCTCTGGAAACAAGATAAAGTTGTCAAATTACCGCAGGAAAGTGAGGGAGAAAATTTAGAGATAGAAAAGAGATTCACTTTGGTGGACGTTTAAGCGGCTTAAATCCATGTCCTGTTAGAACTCACACATTTCCCATACTTTTCTCACCTGCTGTCAGGGTCAGGTTTATTAACACTATTTTCTTCTACACAGCACAACATCTTACAGCATTCAGTACACAGGTAAATATCAAAACTGTCTAGGACAATAAGGAGTTACGCACTACACTATCTGTACTAACACCTGGAAAGTACATTTTTAGAAAAATATATTATTGTATATGAAACCACAAACAGGGATTCTGATTCTGGCACATTCTTACTCAAAACAGTCCTATATATACAGTCCTACCAGAGTCAGAGTGTACTAAAGATTGACACACAGGGCTCTTAAGCTGAAAGTCCCAGACAGACAGCAGTATATACACACGTCCATATTCTCGGCTACCTCCTGACGGAGGCTTGCTTACTTGGCATCAAGATATCAAGGGTCTCGTGCTGGTGAAGGAGAAACAGAATGTACAGATGGTCTGTCCTAGGCTGCTTCTTCAGCAGAACAGTCGATTCCTGCATAGGTAAACTTCTCATAAAGCGTGGTATTCACATAGGTCTAGAAGACAAGAGTGATTCAGAGAAACAGGCCGCCTTGCCTTGGTCCTGCCTCCGCTGGGGGCAGTTACAGTCCTACTCCCGTTTCCTTGGCGTGTTTCAACTCGACTACAGATACCTGGGGGATATATTTCTGTCCTCAGTCCCTGCGTTGTATTTGACAGCTTTCTTCCTGAAAAGCATTCCTGGACTTCTACAAGTAAGATTGCTTCCTCTCACTTTCCTGTCTCCTGGCTTCTCTTTCTCATTCTCTCGCTTTTCCCTCCTGACATATGCCAGGTCCTCGAAGCCCTGCCCCTGACTGTTTCTCAGCTTCACACCTCCTGCCTCCTCTTGTGTCAGTTGTGATGACTTCCAAAATCTATTTCCTTAACCTAGATTTATCTTTTGAACCTCAGATCTCTATAGCCAACTACCTCCTAGAAATTTTTGCAGAATTTCTGACCCTCCCCATAGTAACCTGCAGACCACGCTCTGCTGTTTACCTGCTGTTTGTCCCAGGGCAAGTCACCTTCACCTCTGAGTCTGTTTCTTCATCTACAAAACTGACAGGTCAGGTTGTATGACTGCCAAGATTTAAGATTCCTTCTAGCTCAAATAAGCAGTTCTGTATGTTTTTCTAATGTGTTACTGTATCTTATACAGAAATCTTACCTACTACCAAACTGTAGATTCCTTAAAGTTGGGGGCCACATCTTTTATGTCCCTGTAAAACCTAGGGTGGTGCCCAGAAGAATGTGTTGACTTTTATCAATTATCATATTAACCACAATGGACACATGAGGAATTCCAAAGAAAGAACCTTTGCTTTGAACTCTGTACTCACCTTCCGTTCTTCTAACATCCTGTTTAAGGACACCAATATCTGGGCAAATGAAGGCCTTTCATAAGGCTTCTCCCGCCAGCACTGTCTCATGAGGTCATACCTTTGTAAACAAAGAGTGAAAGGGTTAAGTTACGATTGTGCTTCACTCCTGGGCACAGCTGGGTGGAGAGAGTCACCCAACGCACAGTCATAACACTCAGCCAGCAGAAGACAAGACCACTGCACCGAGGAAGTTTCTGTGAGGCCTCCACCTCCCCATCCAAGTCCCCTTCTCCCAGTAGCT